GTAGGGTCGGTGCTTGATTCCTCTCTTGCAGGCAACGGGAAAATCCCCCATGGGAAAAAAGGTGGTGACTGGTACATATACCCATAGCTCTTAGCGCAAGAAAACTGTAACCACTATATAAAAACGTACAGAAAAGTTGTAAAATCTTCAAACTTCGGCTGCACAATGTCCTTTGTACAGGAACAAATATTATAAAAATTTGGCTTTCATTTTGCCATAAAGTCTGTGTTAGGTTCAAAAGGCGTTGTGGTAGAATGTAAAGCCGCCATCTTTTTTGCTACGGTGGATTTCACACTGATGATACAGGTCAACAGAAATGTTTTTGATTGGTTGTTATTTGCGCGGGAAAAGTCAAAGACGAGCACCGACCAATAAGGGACAGAGAGACTGGTTACGTCATCAGGAAGGACTGTTTGGGGTGGAATCTTGAACATTTCCTCAACGAAGGAGAATTTAGTGCACGAATAGAAAAAGCAAGTTTACTCACTTTTCTCAACTGATGGTTTTCTCGTGTTTTTGTCTTTCTACACAGAGGCACCGCGTATTCTCGGCGTCCTGTCTGCAGATGTCAGCAGGGATGGCGATGCGAATTTAAGCTGTATCGTGTCGTGTTACCCTCCAAGTAATATCACGTGGAAATTCAAAGGGAAGAATCTCACTCGCTCTGCGAGATACGAGTTCATAGACAGCAGTTATATGATGAAGGTTAAAAACGTTCAATTTGAGGACGCAGGGCTTTATGAATGTTCCCTGATCAACGAACTTGGGGAGGCCCGCGCAAATGCGTCTCTTATCGTCGGATGTGAGTGTTGGAATTACTGCTCATAAACGGTCGCTTTTTTCCTTTCAGTTAAGAAATATTTCTTGCTATTTAAACGTTACTCGAAAGCTAAAATATGTCATAAGTCTTGACAATTAAGAAACTAATAATATATATCGTTTTGCACTGAAAACTTTTTATAATGTAAAATACCCTTTGATTTTAACGTGGTACCCTCGAGTACAGTAAAAGTGATAAATTGGTTGCTTAATTTTATTAACATGGAAAGATTTTTCTCGTTGCGTGGGTGATTTAGAGCCAGATTCTCTAACTCACAATCTGGCTTCTTTTTGTTCCATTTGCGTTTTCAAAGGCTAAACTCTCTTCATTGATAAATACGTAAACATTGCACGAAATACGCGTTAATTTCAAAATGTTTCAATTGCTTTACAACCAGTCAGTACAAAGAATGATGTCAGCGTGTCTGTCTTGCATTTGATTGACAGGTGTTTAAATGGCTTCTCTATGTCGAACTGTACAGCAAACAAATGTTGTTTGTTGCGGTAAACAAACTTTCACCTGTTCTTTTATTTATAATTTTTTTCCTCTCTAGTGACTGTTGAATTCAAAGACTACCCCAGGGACACTGTTGCAACTGAGGGAGACCAGGTTACTCTCCATTGCAACGTAACAGGGGTCCCCAGACCTCAAATAGCTTGGAAGAAAGACGGGGAACTGGTAACGAATGGCACTAAAAATACTGTCACAACATACTCAGCCTCGAGCAGAGGTTACACTGCGAGCCAATTACAAATACGGCAAGTTACCAAAGAAGACGTTGCTGTGTACTCTTGTATTGCATGGAATCGTGGCAGCATTCGTGTGTGGCTGGCAACTGTGCTCTTAACTGGCAAGTTTCGTTATATTTATTTACTTTGTTTTAGTTTGTTTATCCTCAGTATATACATTAGGCGTTACCTTCTCTACATTATACAATTTTCGCATTGACCAGAACCAAGACGTTGGGCGAAGCAATAATTTGTATGCAATTTTCAATCATTTAGCTTATTTTGCCGGTTCAAAAATACTTTTTATTGATCGATTTCACCTGATGTTCTTCAAACACTCTCTCGGCTACTTCAGATCTTATTTTTTTACTTTCACCACGCCGGTTTACATTCAGTAAGTCAAGAAATCTACATGTATAGAATCATTCTTAAGACTCCACTCGTGAATTATTTTGATTTCTTCCCTAAAACTTTTTCTGAAATTTGAGTTGCCAAACTCGTGGTGTGGCTTATTTGCGAGTGCGGCTTATCCGTCGGTATTTACTGCATACGTATTTTTCGCAATCGCGATGGGCAGCGGACACCCCTTACAGACATGCGCACACGCGTAAGGCTTTGCATAAGACAACATACCCCTGTAGCTATGCGACCGCGCTCTACAAAAAGACACGAGATACAGAATAGTCCACTTTGTATGTAGCCGAATATTCTAACATGGCCCCGAGGGTTTAGGTCAAAATTATCTTTCCCTCAACCCCGAAAAGGATCAAATTTAGAGGTTTGTCCTGTAGCCCAGGATTGCTATTTGGATCGTAACCTATTATATTATTTGTACGTTCTAAGACCAGAGATTGTGCAATGAATAACGATTGTAATTGCTGGTTATCGCGCGAGACTGTCATATTTCAAAATAATAATAATAATAAAAACTAAATGGCAGATATTTCTGTTACTTCACGGCCGCCATATTGGTGCACCTCCGAGACACACCAAGATGGTGTCTCCAAACAAAGCTCTTTAAATTTGGATGTATAATATTTTTCCGAATAACGTAGTTGCCAAAACACCGCACAGATCTAAATCTAGGCAAGGTAGTTTATATAAATCAATCCTCTATCATATCTCAGTTACTTGACTTTATTTATTTATTGGTTGCCAAGTTTATTCTTGATGGCATAACAGTGAAACCAGCAATATGTGTTGTTTTGTCTAGGTCCGCCGATTATCTCCAGTCCTCCGAAGGACATTTCTGTCCTCTCTGGAGCAAATGTGACTTTCTTCTGTCTTGGTTTGGGCGCTCCAGAGCCTGAGCTGACATGGCTTAAGGATTCCGAGACTATTAAGCCATCCAAGAGAGTAACCATTAACGCTCAGAGCGGTTCCCTTCAGTTGTTTGTGGTTACAGTCGCGGACGCTGGAAAGTACACATGCGTTTATAAGAATAAATATGGCGAGGACAGGAAGTCGGCAGTACTTCGTGTGGATGGCATTGATCCGGAACAGGGTAAGATGGTAACGGGTGGGGCTGCAATACCAAGAAGGCTTAGGTGAGGTAAGAATGGGTAGGAAAGCAAAGGATGGAATAGGGTAAGGCAGAGCATGTATGACAGTGAAGGATAGCGAAGGGTAGGACAGTGAAGGGAAGATCAGGGTATAATAAACTAGGGAAGAGTAGGGTAGGGCAGGGTAAAGTAGAGGTGCCTTGGGTAGGGTATGGCATGATTAGGTAAGGTGGGTGGAAAATGGGTAGGGTAGAATAGGGTCGAATAGGGTAAAGTGAGGTAAAGTAGAGTAGCCTATGGTGAGGAAGGGACGAGTGGGGCAGGGTAGTGCAGGGTAGGGTAGTGTAGGTAGATTAGCGTAGGGTAAGGTAGGTTAGGGTAGGGAAGGGAGGGGTTGAATGGGTAGGGAAAGGCAGGGTATGTTAGGGTGTGATAGGGAAGGGTAGGGTAGGAATGGAGAGAAGGGCAGTAGGAAAGTATAAGGCAGGGGAGGAGAGGGGGAACAGTAGAGTAGTGTAGGGTAGAACAGGGTGGTGTAGGGTTGGGAGTGCGTGGTAAGTTGGGATAGGGTAGGGTGGGTAGGTTAGGATAAGGAAGGGAGCAGTTGGCAAAGTAGGGATGGAGGGAGTAGGGTAGCAGGGAAGTGGAGGTAAGGTAGGAAAGGGTGGGTAGAATGTAGTAGTTAACTACACTTGGATGGGATAGGGGTAGCCAGCAAAGGAGTAAGGTAGGGTAGGACACCTAAGTAAGAGTAGGGAGTATAACTTTTGGTAAGGTAGTATGAAGTAAGGGAGAGGGGGGAAGTATCCCGATTGTATTTTTGGCGAGGTCTTTTATTCGAAATGTAATCCCTAAACAAGCTTGCAAAAGCACGATTTGAATTCAGTTTGCATAAACAAAACTCACTTTCCATTTTTTTAAAACTTTACTCCGAACAGTAACCTCTGCACAGCCATTAGCTCAAAAGAAATCCATCTCAACAGGAACGATAGTGGCTATCGTGGTAATTTTAGTAGTCATCATTGCTATCATTGTGGGTATCGTGTTGTACCGTTACTGCCACGAACGCAATGAAACCTTCCAGTTTGCAGTGGATGGGAATTCTTTAAGGCCGTCTCTTCGAACACGGGTCAAGAACGCTATGGGTAAGAAGCAGCCGTCGAGTTTGTACTACAATCACAGCCGGGATGAAGTGAACTTTGACGATAGCAAACCATTTGTGGATCATGACGAACTCTGAGAAGCAAGAATCATGCAGTTTTTTTCTTGTAATAATTGCGCTCTTTTAGACTTGGCTGTCCGTTACTGAGAAATGGCCGTACAATAGCAACGTTTTCGCTAAAGATGCCTGTAAATGAAAGGACATGAAGAACTCTGTGTATGAAGTAACAATGTATATGGAATTCACTTAATAGGGGCACCGGCTGTCAATCTCAGGGATACTCCTTGGGGTTCACAAGTAAACTATATCC